GGGGGGGGGGGGGCGGGAGGTGGGAATTTTTGTGGGATTGAATTGCGCCCTCGAAACTATTGAGGGTTTATTCGGGACATTTTTGTCGTACAATGCTTATTTTTCGAGATATTTAGCAGTCTCAAGTTAAAAAAAGCACCCTGTATATAATATAAAAATAGTACGTAATACAACGGCTATTATAAGTTATTAATGTTAAAGTTAAATAATTTGCTTTTATTGTAATTTGCTTTTTATAACTGCGATATAAATGTGTTTTAAAATTATATTACTCTATTGTTACTGTTGTTACTACTAATTTCACAACAGTAACAACTCTGTTGTTACTACTAATTATAACAATATATTAGCAACATAACTTAAATATAACACGTTATATATCAATTTTATCGTTTATATTATATTCATGTTATGTAATATTTTTATATCTAGATGTCAGGTCATTCATTAGATGACTTCCGTTTTCTCGTACATAAATCATAATGCGTTAACATACAGAGTGTTTCAGGTCTCCATGATTACACTTTGCGGGAACGTAGAACGGATTGAGGTAAGCAAGAAAGTCCAGTGCCGTTTTGCGATATTTGCAATAATTTTCGAGAAATTAATTATTTTGTCTCAGCTAATGAGAGCAGATGAAGCGGCAGTCGAAAGAAATATGTCTTCGACCGGCGCACAACCGTGATACATGCGAATCGCGACTTGCTGCGTCTCTCCGTTTATAACTACGAGATACAACGAGGCTTGACACACTAACACATGTGCATGACATATCCGTGTGCCCAATCGACGCCGAATCTAAGAGTGTATTACCGCTTCGTTGTTTCACCTTTACATACACGTATGTAGTCGAAGCGACGACACGTTTCGCTTCCCGAGCGTTGATTATCAGATAAAATAATTAATTTCTCAAAAAACTATTGCGAATATCGCAAAACGGCACAGGACTTTCTTGTTCACCTCAATCTGTTCTACGTTCTCGCAAAGTGTAATCATGGAGGTCTGGGACACCCTGTATATAAAAATAGTAATCACAGCAAAACTTGTATCGTAGAGTCCATTCTTATAATAAAATATTATATTTATATAATATTATATTTATATATATGTATTACATTATAATAAAGTTATACGTTTTTTTATTAATGATAATTAATGTCACTGTAATCTATAATTACTATAATCACTATGTCATTATAATCTTTTCCATTGAAATGTTTTTAAAGATGAAAAAATGATAATAGTCTAGATAATATAAAATGTTCTAAGTACATTCTGAATACGCTCAAGACGTCCTGGAGCACTCTTTAAATATTTAAGATGATTCTAGGATAATTTTGAAATATTTGGTATTTCTTTTTTCATTTAGGAGCTAATCAATGTAGGATAACAAGATATTTTCGTATTATTATCTTTACTATAAATATAACTTTTTATATAAAATAATTATAACACTTTTGGAAATATACTTTTACAAATTAACTCATATTTGCATAACAGCTTGTACTCACTGCTTAAATACTTAGTTGCTTAAAAAACGAATAGTTTACCAGGTCTGTAAATATGAAACCGGAATTTGCCCATAGATGGCCCATAGATGTCAATGAAGTTACCGTCAAACCGCGTCATTGGCGCCATTTCCTTGTTGACATCTCTGACAAAGATTTTCAACTCACAACAATACAAGTTACATACAACAGCATAGTTTGTAATAGCGTTGAACATGTCGAATTTTGTGCCTGGAAACTACGATTTGCGGACAGCATTGATTTTCTGTGAACCATTTGAAGAAAACTGCTGCAGAATCGCATCGAATGCTTGTCGAAGCTTACAGTAAGCATGCTCTTGGTAAATCACAGTGCTTTGAGTGGTTTAAAAAATTCAAAAGTGGCGATTTTGAGAAACGAAGAACGTGGAAGACCACCGAAAAAGTTTGAAGACAGCGAATTGCAAGCATTGTTGGATGAGGATGACACTCAAACGCAACAACAACTCGCGGATCAATTAAATGTGACACGAGAAGCCGTCTCCATACGTTTGAAAGCCATGGGAAGGATCCAGAAGATGGGAAAATGGGTTCCACATGAACTGAATGAAAGACAGCAGGAAAACCGAAAAACCACTTGCGAAATGCTGCTCGCCAGGTACAAAAGAAAGTCATTTCTCAATCGAATTGTGACTGGCGATGAAGAGTGGATATATTTTGAGAATCCTAAACGTAAAAGAATGGGTAATTCCAGACGAACCATCGACATCGACTGCAAGGCCAAATCGCTATGGACGGAAGACAATGCTCTGTGTTTGGTGGGATCAGAAGGGTGTGATCTATTATGAGCTGCTAAAACCTGGCCAAACCGTTAATACTGAACGCTACCGACAACAAATGATCGATTTGAATCAAGCTTTGCGTGAAAAACGACCAGAATATAAAAAAAGGCAACACAAAGTGATTTTGCTTCATGATAATGCACCATCACACACAGCAAAACTGGTCAAGGAAACGATTGAGGCGTTTAGTTGGGAAATACTTTCGCATGCGGCTTACTCACCAGACTTGGCTCCGTCCGATTACTATTTATTTGCATCGATGGGACACGCACTTACTAAGCAGCGCTTCACTTCTTACGAAAATGTACGAAAATGGCTCGATGACTGGTTTGCCTCAAAAGAGCAACAGTTTTTTTGGCGTGGCATCCACAAATTGTCAGACAGGTGGGAAAAATGTATAGCTAGCGATGGGCAATACTTCGAATAAAATATTTTTTATCATTTTCATACAATAAACGTGTATTTTCTATACAAAAATTCCGGTTTCATATTGACATACCTAGTATACACTGGCTATATAACAATTCAGCAATCAATATACAATATATTAATATAATATAATATTTTAATTTCTTCAGCCCAAATTTTGAAAAAATGGAAGATATGAAAAAATGTTTCAAATAAAAGTTGTATGGCTTTGAAGGAGACATAAGATGGTGCTATTGATTTCATCATTTAAACATCATTTAAAGATCACATGAAAGTTATTTTCAATTTCTTAAATGGAAACCCTTACTTTTTATTACTTATTCTTCTAGCTCATTTCAAGAACTTTCCGAAACACTATGTCAAAGTATATCTCGAATTACGAGGCTTGAAAGTTACCGCCGGCATTAACGTTACTCAAGATGTACCACATGGAGGTTGCATGGTCGGATTTACATCTATTTTGTGTTGTGTATATGTATGTGTGTACGTGTATGAGTATGTGTCGCAGTAGAGATAAGAACCCCATGGTTCGTTATTCCCGTAGTATTTTGTGAGTATTTTGTGAAATTCTCTTTGCAGTATGTATATGTGTATGTATATGTATACTTACGCACGTGTGTATGCGCGTATGAGTGTATAAATGCGAGTGTTTTTTTATAACAACTGTTCAAAAGTACCACCATTTTGACAATTATGCAATAATTCTTCTTTAGAAAGCATCAATAATTTATCTTAACATGATTGCTGGTATATTTCTGTACACTTATGTTATACGTTTTATCTCCTGGCGTAATACCTTTATAGAAATATCATACTAGGAATCATTGATAATTACTTATTTTCAGTATTAAAAATACTGGATAATAAGTAATTATCAATGATTCTTAGTATGATATTTCTATAAGGGTAGATATTGTCTGATACACGATACTTTTTGGTTACCCCAAAAGAAAAAATCTGGTGGTGTTAAATCAGACGACCTGGGTGGCCAACCAACATAACCATCTCGTCCAATTCAACGTTG